GGTGGCACGTGCCTGTAGACTCAGCTGCTCAGGAGGCTGAGATGGAAGGATTGCCTGAGTGCAGGAAGTTGAGGCTATGGTGATCCATGATTGTGCCACTGCACTCCATCATGGGTGATGGAGTGAGATCCTGATTCTAAAAAAAAAAAAAAGAATTTTTTGAAAAACTTACATAAATATATACTTTAGTTACCTAAAATCCTTTATTTAATAGAAAACAAAAAATCCTTTCAAACTAAGTTTCCATCATACAATAATAATCATCATAAACTTATACTACATCTTTTTTTTTTTTTGAGTAGGAGTCTCACTCTATCACTCAGGCTGGAGAGCAGTGGCATGCTCCCAGCCACGACAGCCACTACGTGCTGGACTCAGGTGATCATTCCACCTCAACCTTCCAAGTAGCTGGAACTACAGGCACACACCACCACGCTTGGCTAATTTTTTTGGCTTATTGTAGAGACGGGGTCTCACCAAGTTGCCCAGGGTGGTCTCAAACCCATGGGCTCAGGTGATTCTCTCACCTCGGTCTCCCAAAGTGCTGGGATTATAGGTGTGAGCCACCATGTCCGGCCTTATACTACATCTTAATTTGGAGTAGCCTCATCATGAGTACTCATTAACCACGTGTGGCTGATGGCTGCCATATTGGGCAACACAAGTCCGTCTCCTACATATTTACCTTTGATTCATTAGCATATTTCAGAGTCTGGTCTCCAAAAAGGGCTCCATAAATGGAATGAATAGAAAGGGAGTCAGAGACTTAAAACTATCAGATTAAAAAAAAATTTTAAACCACAAACAACTATATATTTCAATATATGAAGGGTTTTTTTTGGTTTTTTAAAAAATATTAGTTTAAAAATCCCAGTAGGGCCTCTAAAACATTAGGTCAGGCCCAATGGGGGTGTGTGTGTGATCTGGTGCCACGTGAAAGATGCAGATAATTGCACCAAAGTTAGATTGAAAAATATAGTTTATTTAGGTAAATTAGAGAGAGAGAGAGAGAGAGAGAACATTCACCTCCCCAAGGTAGGGAAGGGGGCCAAATCTAAGAAACATGGCGGCCATAGCTCAAAGAGCCATGTGAACACACCAGAGTTTAACAAAGCAATGGCCAATATATGAAGTTTAGGAATAGGCAGGCCAGGCGCAGTGACTCAGTCTGTAATCCCAGCACTTTGGGAGGTTGAGGCAAGAGAATTTCCTGAGCCCGGGTATTCGAGACCAGCCTGGGCAACTTGGTGAGACCTCGTCTCTATAATCAATCACAAAAAAATTAGCTGGGCATGATGGCATGCATCTATAATTCCAGTTATTTGGAAGGCTGAGGCAGAAGGATCACCTAAGTCCAGTAGGTCAAGGCTGTGGTGGCCGTGAGTGTGCCACCGCTCTCCAGCCTGGGCGACAAGAATGAGACTCCAACTCAAAAAAAAAAAAAAGGCAAAACTCAAAAATTGAAAGTAATTTAAATGTCCACTGGATAAACAAAATGTGGCATCCATACAATAAAATTTTATTTCGTTAAAAAAAAAGAACAAGCATCAAAACTATCAGATGTTTTAAAAGTTGTCATAGATTAGCTGTAAAGTAGTTAATTGAGAAACACCTTTAAAAGTTCCTTTGACATAGTATTACTAACTATACACCTTATTCAAATTTTGCCAATTTTGCAAGTAATGTATTTTTGAAAGCTAAAAATAAACTCTGTGGTCCTTCATTAGAATCAGAGGTATTAGTATGAATTCATATTTAGTATACACACAGAGAGGTGCAGAAATAAATGTGTACCTGTGCATATGTGTGGGTCAGTATATATTCATGTATTTCTTAGCTCTTTTCACTGAGATAGCCTTGAGTGTTCATTGTCTCAGACACTCAAGAGGCAAATTGGGCTGAGGGATTAGAGGAGGATTTTTTCCAGCAGTGTTATTCAAAACATGGTTCACTGATATGGACCCTGCTGCAATTGTCTGTCCATCCAATTTGCTGCATTTTTCAGGCAACCTGATGTTATGCCCTGTGATTTCTGGAAAGACCTGCAAATAGTTGACTGGCAAGTAGCAAAATTTACCAGTAACCAGTCACAAACACGTGCATGCCAGCCAAGGGTACATGAATTGATAGGGTTTTATTTTAATAATTTTACAAAGGGGCTGGTTGCGGTGGCTTACCCTATAATCTCAGCACTTTGGGAGGCCAAGGTGAGAGGATTGCCTGAGCCCACGGGTTCAACACCACCCTGGGCAACTTGGTGAGACCTCATCTCTACAATAAATCAAAAAATTAGCCAGGCATGGTGGCACGTGCCTGTAGTTCCAGCTACTTGGAAGGCTGAGGTGGAAGGATCACCTGAGCCCAGCAGGTCGAGGCTGTGGTGGCTGTGAGCATGCCACTGTACTCCAACCTGGGCGACAGAGTAAGACTCCAACTCAAAAAAAAATTTTTTTTTTTACAAAGGAAAGGCATTCATGAATTCAAGGATGTAGGGGTTTTCAGTTTCCCCCACTTTCTTTTTGTGTCCTGATATTTAAAAAGTCACAGAGTGCCCAGACTGCTCTGTCACCAGCCAGCTGATGGTTTTTTCCAGTAGGCTTGAAGCAATCCTAGACACAGATGAAAGTATCTAAGATATTGTTCAAAACACTCAAAATAATTGGCTCAGGGCAGGTGTGGTGGCTCAGGTATGTAATCTGAGGATATCTAGGTAGGAGGATCACTTGAGGCCAGGAGTTCGAGACCAGCATACAAGCAAACTGCCATATCTATACTTTTAAAAACATAGATGCTGGAACAGAAGGTTTTCCTTTTTTGTATAGGTTAAATTTTTGTTTTCTTAGTAAAATTTCAAACTTCACTTGTCTCAGGCATGAATCTCAGTTTTTCAGATTTGACCTTGCTGGGAAGCCCCTGGAGTTTGTCGAGCACGGGCAATGGTCAAAGGCTGAGATCAGCAAGGCGGGCACAGCCCAGACTGAGAAGTGGGGATCAGTGAGTCAGGAGCCTTGGTCCTATGAGAGGGCTTTGCAGAGCCCACAGGAGCCTCCAAAACGACAGCACCCTGGATGTATCTGGAGAATAGACCCCAGCAGCCCATGCTTGCGAATGTCTGGCCTCCTCACTGCCTCCTCCATTCACAAACTGGACTTGTCACTTAAAGCCAGCCCCCTCTGGTCCCTTCCCCATTTAAAGCATGTCTCGAGACTGGGTGTGGTGGCATGCACCTGTAAACTTAGTGCTTTGGGAGGCCAAGGCAGGAGGATTGCTTGAAGCCAAGAGTTAGACCAGCCTGGGCAACAGAGCAAGACCCCACCTCTACAAGATAAAAATAAAATAATTAGCCGGGTGTGGTGGCAGACACCTATAGTCCCAGCTACTTAGAAGGCTGAGGCAGGAGGACCACTTGATCCCAGGAGTTCAAGTTCAAGGCTGCAATGAGAAATGATCACACCAGTGCACTCCAGCCTGGGTGAAAACCTGTCTCTAAAACACAAACAACAAACAAAAAGAAGGAAAAAAAAAGAAAAAGACTCCATGCCCTGACGCTCACACTGGGAATGCACCTCTGTAGAATTCCCTTTTTTCTCTTGCTGTTCACCTGAGGATGTGTGGCAGCACCCTGTACATAAGTCCCCCTTATACGTGCTTTGAATCTATCACTCTGGCATTTTAGTGCTTCTTTCTTTGAAATCCCAGCCAGTCCCATCTCAGGACGGTCTGGGGCCCTCCCTTGTTGGAACTCTCCTTTCACCACTTTGGGGGCGATTCTTGCCTCAGGTTTGGTAAAACAAAATAAAGGAATGCAAAAAAATGCAATTAATATTATTTATATAATGCAAACAATTCATATACATGGTAGCAAAGTACACCAAGAACAACATTTTGAGTATCATTGCCCCAAAACACAGAAAACACATTATTATTATTATTTTTTTGAGTCGTAGTCTCACTCTGTCACCCAAGCTGGAGTGCAGGGGCATGCTCATGGCAGCATTGATCTGTTGGGCTCAGGTAATCCTTCTGCTTCAGCCTCCTGAGTAGCTGAAACTACAGGTGTGAGCTACCACACTAGGCTAATTTTTTCTTTTTTTTTGAGTTGGAGTCTCACTCTGTGGCTCAGACTGGAGTGCAGTGGCCACTCCTGGCCACCGCAGCCTCGACCTGCTGGGCTCCGGTGATCCTTCTGCCTCAAGACTTCCAAGTAGCTGGAACTACAGGTGCGCACTACCACGCCCGGCTAATTTTTGATTTATTGTAGGAATGAGGTCTCGCCAAGTTGCCCAGGCAGGTCTCGAACCCGTGGGTTCAGGCAATCCACTCACTTCAGCTTCCCAAAGTACTGGGATTACAGGCTGAGCCACTGTGCCTGGCTTTTTTTTTTTTTTTTTTTTTTTTTGAGAGTTCAGCTGTTGTCTGAACATGTTATAAAAGGTTTAGTCAAAAGGCCAGAGCCCATGTCATCATCAGACCCCTCAGATTCTTCCTTCTTTGCTTCCCCTTTCTTCTCCTCAGCAGGGGAGGCAGCGGCGGAGGTGGCAAGAGCTCCACCTGGCTAGGCACCCGCTGCAGGCCCAGGCCCACCGGCCCCCGCATGGCAGAGGAGGATCCTAATGCTGGCATTGGCCAGGGCCTCTGCAAACAAGCCAGGTTCAAAAAGCTCGAATTTCACACCTGCTGCTTTAGCGAGGGCATTGGACTTATCCTCCATGACGACTAACCTCATCACCGTGCAGAGTGAGGGCCAGCTTGGACACGGAGGCCACGGTGCAGCCAGTGCGGGGTTGGAGCTGCCAGGCATGGTGCTTGTCACTGGATGAAGTGAGGGCCTCACCCTAACACTACCTTTGCCTCTTGAGCTGTTTGTTTCCTCATTCTGGGTAGAGTCCAGACTTGTCCTTTATGGGTGAGTGGGACTGAGGGAGGCGTCAAGCAGGTCTGTGTAAAAAGTCATCTTCATAGTCTCCCTGGGGGTCCGCCCCTGTCTGTGGGCTTCCTGGTCAAGGATTTGTGGCCTTGTCCTCCAGTGCCTCAAACGTCTCGTTGTGCATATAAAAGAAGATATACCCCGAGCATTGCCGTGCCTTCTTCATCGTGGTCTCTTGGATTTCCGATACACGTAGATCATCATATGTGAACCAGGCCTTCTTCTGAAAGTCATAGGCGTCGCTGATGTAATGGCCTGAGTCTTGGGAGCTCCCAATATGGCTGACAACACTGATGAGTCTGTAGTTTGGAAGAGTGTATTCCGTCTTCACATTTCTTTTTGGTTCCTTGGCTTCCGTTCTTGTGTTCTCCAGATCAAAAAGGTCTTGGTTCCCAGAGTTCTCATCAGAACCCCATGCCCTAAGGGAGCTCAGATCAGCCTTTTGAAGTTTAAATTCTCTAGATCTTCCAAGGGCCTTCTCTGTAGGGTCCAGGGCATTGGGCAGTGGCGCATGCTGAAGGAATTCCTCCTTGGTGCTTTTTCCAATACACTGCTGGAGTTGTTCAACCATTCCTTGAGATTCATCTGGAATCCCGTTTCCTTTGCACTCATAAAAGCCATTGGTAGATTCAGTGACACTGTCAAAATCTAGCTCTACAAATGTTTTGGTTTTCTCATAGTCCTGAAGTTCTAGATTTTCAGGCGCTTCTTGAAGATGAACCTCTATGAGACCTGTGTTTGGGCTACTGATAGGCTTCCTTCCATCTTCATGGATCATAGACAGAAATGTGTCTCTCTGATCCATCATCCAGCCAGTCCCTGGCAGCTCCCTTTCACTGGCTGTTCCATCTCTGAAGTTTACCAACTTTGACTTCAGTTTAGCACCACTTTCCAGGTCTTTCTGCTGCTGCTCTTGGTCTGCTGCTTCACAGGTTTGTAGGTCACCATCCTTCTTTGGTTCAGCGTATAGAACCGAGGAATCACTGGATTCTGAGGTCAACCTCATCGATAGTGTCAATGGGCTGATGATCTCAGAGGTCATCTGCTGAGAGACCCCCAGAACTTTGCTGTGCCAAGAAGCTGCACTGCCACTCAAGGGAAGAGGGAGTTTTGTGCTTCCATTGCAATGAGAAGATAACCTTAAATATTTGGGAATATAAACGTTCTGACTATTTTTTACCAGCAAACAAGCATCATTAAAGCGATAGCGTTTCAGATGAACAATAAGGACCCTGGGGAGCCTACTGAATTTGTGCTTTGCCATGGAACTCTTGTGCTCACATGTCTTACAGCTATACTCAAGTTCTTCTGCTCTAAAGAAAAGATCAACAAAATTTTGAATGGACAAAGGAAATGGTTTGGTTTCTTGGTGCAGGTTGATGGAGAGACAATTACTCAGTTCTGACTTGAGAACAGCCTGACCACAGGCTTTACAAATAATAGAGAGGTGCAATTCAAACTCAAAATTAGTGGCGACAGGACAAACAACCACTTCAGTGGCAGCATTACCAGCATATGTCTGTGGAGATACATTTTTGTCATCAGCTTCACGTTCAGTCTTCAAATTGGCATTTAATTCTTTCACGTCTTCTTTCAGCTGGTCTAAACACTGACTTAAAAACTCATGAGCATCATTTTGTGTGTTGCCAGAGAATATCCCTGCAACTGCTGAAATGGCTTTTTTAACATTTACCAGCAATTCTTCTTTGGTCTCCATATTACAAATATCTTTCAAAGCAAGCAGTTGGCTCAAGGGCATAATGAGAACATCAAAGGGAATTTTCTCCCATGGGACATCTTGCATGAATAAGTCATCAGCAAATGATGGAATCGCAAATAATGATTGTAAAATTGCATTCATGTAACAGGTGTTTCCCAAATTGGGAAAGCCTTCCCACAGTTGATCTGGGTGAGGATCAAGGGGCACCTGGGCTTCATTCTGTCTTGGGTCACTCTGGCTGTGCTTTGGGTCCAATGGAAATGCCAAATCTCTTTTGGTAGAGGAAGTCTGGGTTGAAACTGTTCCATCTAGGTTAGGATTTCCATTACAGTTGGTCTTCAATGAAGGTACAAGTTTTGAATTTCTATTTTTTCCTAAATCTTTTAAACTTGATGATTCCTTCCTATTGCTTCTTACATACTTCAAGAAGTCGGCCCTGGATTTCTTGCTTATTACAGGGTTATGCTTTTTCTGAAAATTCTCAGTCATCTCTAGACCAGATGACTTTTTTCTTTCCCACCACATGGCTTTTTTCCTCTTCCCATCTCGATTTTTTAATAACCCTTTTATGACCCATCTTGTGGATTTTGACATGAACACAGGTATCTTCTGAGAGCAAGATGTTTTACTTCTCTTTTCCAGATTAAGGGATTTGTAATTTGACTCACGACAGGTGTCATAAAGGGAAGTCTTGCCAATCTCCTTCTGTGCTTTCCTGCTTCCAAAGACATTCCAGTCATCATCAGTTTTCATAGGTTGTTGAAATTTGTTTTGGTGAACTACATCCAAGAACATTTTCAACTGTTCAGCATCTCTGATGGACAGTTTGTCAATAAGTAAGAATATATTGTTTTGCAAAGTTAAGTGCAGAGAACTTTTTCTTCCTTTACGATGTCTAAGAACCACACTTCTAATATTATTACTCAGTTGAAAGAAGACCCTTATGAATTCTCTAGATTTGAAAATGACCACCAGTTTAGTTCTCTTTTTTCCTTCAACTGTTTCAATGAATGCTTCTTTCAACTTACTCATCCCAGTCCTCTTGCTCCAAATTTGAATAAATCCAGGTATCTTTAGAGAAGTCATCTTTTCTTTACAAATAAAACACATGCAACCTAGAGGGAAAAAAGCATGCACATACATTTTAACCAAAAATGTATTAACAGTGATGTTTTACAGAAAACTCTATGCAATAGTAATTTGCTTTAAGTCTCTTCCCTATGCCCGAAATAAAAGACTTATTTGGGAACTTACTAATATTCTGAAGCTATGCCAATTCTCTGGAAGACACAGACTCGGGATACATCCTTTCAAGGGAGCTGGTAAGGGAGAAAGAAGATGAGGAAAAGCAGATAAATATCCAACAGTTATACGAATAGGTGCTCAATATCACTGTTCAACAAGGAATTGCAGATGGAAACAATTCCTGATGAGTTAGCATTCCCTGTGATGTCTGGAATAGATTGCAGAAGGGTTGGCACATGAAGAAAAGCTGGAATGCTTTTAGGAAGGTGAATGGATGTGCTAGATAATTAGCAAAATTGAGAGAGAAAGAGAAGGATGGGTTGGGAAAGAAACATAAAGAGGGAGACATGCACCTCAAAACAGAAACTGAGAGGTTTTGGAAAAGGTCAGTCTCTCTCTTTGTCTCTTTTAGTTTGGTCCCTCCCCTCACTTATTTGCCATTTCTCTCCAGGCAGCCAGGAATGCCTGCTCCCTCTGGCATTCCAATTTTAGAAAAAGTTGGAAAGTTACAGTGAAACCAATGAAAACAAATTGGCTTTTACTCACCCACAGTTCTTCCCAAAGAAACTTGAATCGGGATTCAAGGAAATTTATTTATATATTTTTATTTGAAAGATGTGGGGTGAAATTCAGTCGTCACCATACAGGTAAAGTTTGGGCCTTCCTTTGGTTCCCACTTCTCCTGGTTTGTGATCAGGTACTCTTATTGATGTTATGTGTCTTCCCTCCCCTGAATTCAAGAAAATTTAAACTTTGAAGAGCTGTCCATGGTCACATTACAGGCAGAGTTCTGACTGCTAAGACTGTTACTAGAAAAAATGGCTAGTCTTGAAACTGACCTTAATTTAATCAGTCTACATATAGTCCCACCCTTCTCTTGTGGCATTTTGCTCAGACAATCCTCTCACCTAAGCCTCCCAAAGTGCTGGGATTATGGGTGTGAGCCATTGCGCCCAACCATCTCTTGAGGTATTTTATTGTATTATTTCTTACTAGAAAATCAACCTTTCATCAAAGCCCTATACATTAATTCAATCCAGGAGGAAACCTTGGATGTTAATGGGATTACCTCCAAATGTGTCTCTAAAAATGCTCCACCCCAATTACACAGATTAGATTAATAGCTCCACAGATTTAACATTGATTAAATTTTCTGGGAACTCTGCCACACCAGACATTCTAACAACATTTATTGCTTCAGGGGTGTCTAACTTAAAAGACTAGTTCTGATTCTGTTCAGTTTAGAACTTTAAGCATCTTTACTTTTGTTCTTGTTACAAAGAGGTAATACAGAGAGGATGCATTAAAATCACACGTTATTTCCAACTTCCAGGATTCAAATCCTGGTTTCACTATTTACCGCTTCTATACCATCAACTTTAAAATTCAACCCTCCTCTTAGTTTCTTTTTCTTTTCCTTTTTTTTTTTTTTTAAATCAGAGTCTCAGGTGTCGCCCAGGCTGGGGGGCAGTGACATGCTCATGGCCACCACAGCCTTGACCTGCTGGGCTCAGATGATCTTCTGCCTCAGCCTTCCAAGTAGCCGGAACTACAGACGTGCGCCATCTCACACAGCTAATTTTTTAATTTATTGTAGAGACAACGTCTCGCCATGTTTCCCAGGCTGGTCTTGAACCTGTGGACTCAGGCAATCCTCTTGCCACCGCCTCCCAAAGTGCTGGGATTACAGGCATGAGTCACCACACCTGGCTGAGTCTTACTTTCAAACAAGAGAAAAAGAGATGGTAATGGTAACAGCTACCTCTTGGGTTATGATATATCATCAATAGGCTAAAAATGGCCTGCAATCAGGTCTTCATACAAGAGTTAACTACCACTTTTATCAACATCATATACTTTTTTGAAGTAAGGGTCTCACTGTGGCACCCAGGCTGGAGTGCAGTGGCACAGTCATGGCTCACCACAGCCTCAGCCTCCTGGGCTCAGGTAATCCTTCTGCCTCAGCCTCCCAGGTAGCTGGGTCTCCATGCCCATGACACCATGCATGGTTAATTTTTTAAATCTGTAGAGATGAGATCTCACTACTTTGCTTAGCCTGGTCTTGAATTCCTGGACTTAAGATATCTTCCCACTTTGGCCTCTCAAAGTGCTGGGATTACAGAAGTGAGCTGCCACCTAACATAATTTTTTTGTGGCTAATTCTAAGAAAATATTAAACTAAAGAAATACCTCATCTGAAGAAAATTAGGGCTCTGTTGTGGGAGGAAAGGGAAATAAATGACTTTTACTAAAGGTTTATTGCTTGTTGAAGAAGAACAGCACTCTCTATGACTTACATACCTCAACACAATTTGATTCTGCAAGTGATGGTATTTGTTACTATTTAACAGGTAAGGAAACTGAAGTCTAAATATATTAGATTATGGTACACCTTTGAGTCGCTCAGCTAAGGAAATAGAAATGCATGACTAGAAATGACTGCTGTCGGGGAGTGTCCCTATTTCTTCAGTATAAAGCATGAACTGTGTTGAACCCGCAAAACGTGTGGGAAAGAGAGACTCTTCCATGATAACGATGAACGAGTCTTCCATTTCCGGAAAGATCCTAACATAACACCTACAATGCGAAAATAGAACTCCTCTTGTTGGTCATTTTGCTGCTGAGAAATTAGTGTCTGTTTAGGGGAACGGTACCTTCACTGGCCCTTTGATTTAATGAAAAAGGATGTCATAAAGATTAGAGGGCTTCAGTTGTTCCCTGAGCTAAGATCAAGACAGGCAGCCTTCATCATTTTCATTTTGAATACATGCTTCTTTTTGAAAATGCCAGTATCCAATGCCACAGAGAACAGAAAATTACTCCATAGTCAAAACCCAGAATTAGGATTTCCTAAACTGCAGTTTACCCCACAAAGGGTGAAAGCTGAAACTCCCCTCATCACAACATCTGACAATATCTCTAGGGCATTAAGAATAGCCAAGGCCGGGCTCGGTGGCTCAGCCTGTAATCCCGCGCCTTTGGGAGGCTGAGGTGAGTGGATTGCCTGAACCCGCGGGTTAGAGACCCGCCTGGGCAACTTGGCGAGACCTCATCTCTACAATAAATCAAAAATTAGCTGGGCGTGGTAGTGCACACTTGTAGTTCCAGCTACTTGGAAGGTTGAGACGGAAGGATCGCCGGAGCCCGGCAGGCAAGGCTGCGATGGCCGGGAGCGGCCACTGCACTCCAATCTGGGCGACAGAGTGAGACTCCAACTCAACAACAACAACAAAAGCATAGCCAACTACTCCTTTCAAGACACACATGCACCCCACCATCCAAACAAGCGCATTTTAAATAGAGCTGAAGGAAACTTACAGTTTAGAGAGCTGTCCTGGGGTCTGAGACTGGATGAGAATTCTTTTTTCTTTTTCCTGTTCCTCAAGGCAAGGTCTCCTCCTGTCCTCCTAGGCTGGAGTGCAGTGGCATGACCATAGCTCACTGCAGCCTTGAACTCCTGGGCTCCAACGATTCTCCTGCATAGCAGGGACTACAAACGGGTTTAAAGTTTAAAACACTTTTTGTAGAATCAGGGTCTTGCTATGTTGGCCAGGCTGACCTCAAGCCATCTCCCTGCCTCCCAAAGTGCTGGAACTACAGGTGTGAGTCTGACAGTGATTTTTATTTATCCCTTTAGGTGGCCCCACCCATTTCACAGGTAATTTCCAGGAGATTCCTTCCTTGATTAAATTATAGAGTAGCGTTAAAAGTGTTTACCTAGAAAAGGCTAGTTAGAAGACCTATTTTACTTTATTTCAATTTATGATGTAATTTTAACTTTTATCTTGAAATCATTGCAAATAGACATAAGAATTGCAAGATTAGTAGAAATAACTCTTCACATTCTCTTCATCCAAATTCACCAGTTGTGTACATTTTGCCATGTCCGTCTACATTCTTTCTCTCTTTACAGGTACCTGAACTAATTGAAAATAGGCTGCAGTTGTGTTTTTTACTCCTTATTTAGTATAAGTTTTCTTTTCTTTCTTTTTTTTTTTTGTCAGAGTTTCACTCTGTCGCCCAGGCTGGAGTGCAGGGGCACACTCACGCCCACTGCAGCCTCCGCCTGCTGGGCTCAGGCAGTCCTTCCATCTCAGCCTTCCAAGTAGTTGGAACTACAGGCGCATGCTAGAACTTACTGGTCTTAAGAGCATCTCAGGGCAGGTGTGCTCCAGGCCATCCTTAGAGAAGTGTATGTGGTGCGTGTCTGTGTGTGTCTCTCTGTGTGTGAGTGCATGTGTTGTATGCACACGTGTCTCTGTGTGCATGTGTCTGTGTGTATCTTTGTGCATATGTCTATCTGTGTGTGCATGTGTGTATGAGTGCATGTGTGTGTGTGTCTGTGTTTGGTCATGTACTGTGTGTTTGTGTGCCTGTGTCTATGTATCTTTTTAAAATTTTTTTAATTTTTAATTTTTGAGCCAGAATCTCACTCCGTCACTCAGGCTGGAGTGCCATGGCACACTCACAGCCACTCCAGGGTCAACCTGCTGGACTCTGGCAAGTCTTCTACCTCAGCTTTCCAAGTAGCCAGAATTACAGGCATGCGCTGCCATGCCTGGCTAATTTTTGATTTATTGTAGAGATGAGGTCTCACCAAGTTGCCTGGGCTGATCTTGAACCCGCAGACTCAGGCAATCCATTGCCTCAGCCTCCCAAAGTCCTGGGATTACAGGCTTGAGCCACCACACCTGGCTCCATGTACGTTTTCTAAGAACACTGATATTCTCTTATATAACCACATCAGAATTACTGAGTTCAGAAAAGTTAGCATAGATGCTATATTATTATTTTATTAACTTCAAATTCTATTTGTACCAATACAAATTCAATTGCACCAA